ATGACAAACTGCAAAAAATGAAGATATTACCCATACTTTTCTGCAACTTATCCAACATATCAGACTTGTAAACACGATGTCATACCCTATAGGGAGTATCGTTAAGTTGAAGTTCTGAGCAATTTCAGAACTCTGTACGTCGCCGTCATGCCATTAAGTTGGGGCCATGGTCCCGCTTCCCCGGGTCCTGGAATTTAATGAAGTGTAACCTGAAGTTCAGGCCCTAATTTGAAATAGGGCCTGACACAAAACCTGTCTAGACCGTGGGACGCCCACATGTTATTTTTAGACACAGCATGCATCAATATGATTGACAAGTGTTGTAGATTTCGTCACAAAAAATTTATATTCTCATGAACATGTCCGCAGAGTGTGCATTTTGCTTTTTAATTAAACTTAAAAATTCAAGGTACTTTTATATAATTAAGAGTCAGTTTCTCTATTTAACCGAACAGCAACTACAAAGATTTAATTAGTCAGTTCTGTGCACGGCTTGACTGCCAAGCTTTCTCAAGGTCTCAACTTGCTGGACGCGGATATACTCTAACAACTAACGGGCTAACAACAGCAACAATGGAATTCTCAATCGTACCACGAAGGCGATGTAGCTCAGAAAACAACGCCGGTAGGACCTGATATTAAAAATAAGACTTTTGCCGGCGAAGCCATGCAGTTGGCAGAACATCTTGGCTGTCAACAACAAGCTTTCGAATACATGACTAGTTTGGCTGTTCTTTCAGCGTCGTGTGTCCAAAATTCGTCAAAGATTTTGATGAAGCCCTTTCAAAATACTGTTTATTTGATTTATTTTCTGCCATAAAGCATAAAAAAAAAGAAATTCGAAGAAATCGATAATGGAATTTGTTACGTGCGTTTGACCTTTATATTAATCAGGGCGAAGGGAGAGAGGGCGTAGAAACGGCCATACATCGAGCGGACCCATCCGTGATGCGGGCTTCGCGGGGGGTAACATTTTCTAATTGTAAACAAATATGGCTACGCGTATATGACCCATCAGAAGGTATGCTGAAACTATTGCTTTATAAAATATTACTTGTGTAAAATTTATATGTTTTTGTTACTTTCAGCTATTATAAGAAACTTAAAGATAAGATTTAAAAAGAAATTCGAAGAAATCGATAATGAATTTGTTACGTGCGTTTGACCTTTATATTAATTATCGCCCTTGACCGAGCTATTTTTAAAACTGTTGTTTATGTGAACTTGCAACCAATCAAAATCCTTCATGATGCTGATCAACCAATCAGATTTCCCGTCCACCAAATGGACGGGAATCCCACAGTTTAGATAGGTTTTGTGTCAGGTCCTATTCTGTGATTAGGGCTTGAACTTCAGGTTAGCTCGCGCCCATCTGTTATGACATAAACTGTGGATAGTGCGGGATCCACTGGGTATTTTAAATACCAAACACTAGTAACTTCGAAAACAGCAAATACTTCTCAAAAAGTGTCCTGCCTTATAGTGTCCTGCCTGAAATATTACATTAAATTGCAGCTCTCTTTCATATAATATATCAGCCATTGTATTTCAATGCGGGGAATTTTAAATCTGCTGTAATGATGTAATTCTTTGGGAACTCCCGGCAACCAGAGATGACGTAATCTTACAATATATAAATAGGCATCAAATTTACGCAAAATATTCCATTTTCTTTGAGACGTGACGCGACAAGTTCCTTTTCGACCTTCGCTGAATATTGCTTTGAAAAAGGCATGTCTTCTATAATTACGGGAATTTTAAGATCAACCGTGGGTTTATTGTGCGACAAAGCTCGTGATAGTGCTGCAAATAAACTCAAGGACGGAGGTTTAGCGGATCAAAAATTGCGTGAAATAATTGTCAAGGATTTAACCGATATCAAGTCGAAACTCGACTGTCTGTCGCTTAAAGATCTCGATGCCAGTTATAGTTTCCTGAAAGAAGGTGTGGAATTGTTGAATCTTGCCCTTGATGAATCAAATGAAGATCGGAAAGCAAGCGAGGGTCCAAGTCCAACATACGAAGCAACAAGAGTTACGAATGATACAGCGTCTGGTATTTTGGACGCAGCCCTATCACTTCCTCAAGCGATTCAAAAATTAAAAATCTCGTATGATAAGCGGTTCCTTTCTGCTCAAGATTGTTTCAAAGCATCTCGCGAGGCAGCTACGCACGCATTCAACAACAAATCTCTGAGCATCAAAGATCGAATTCATCAAAGATCGAATTGTACTGCGAAAAATGCAGCACAAGGTCCTCTGGTAGGAATTGAACCTACGGCCCTTGTGCTGCATTTTTCGCAGTCGTTCCTGGTCAGGTCTTAAAATGTATATAATCACTCGGATTACAAACCCTAACATTCTAATATTAATTCCACCAAGTGAAGTGCAAGAAACCACATCATTCAAGTCCACCTTATCACAACCCGCCCACCCGATTACCTATATATACACGAGCTTACGGTTACAGCTTAACAGCTGGCCTCTGTAGCTCAGTTGGTTAGAGCGCTGCACCGGAATCGCAGGGCCGTAGGTTCAATTCCTACCAGAGGACCTTCTGCTGCATTTTTCGCAGTCGTTCCTGGTCAGGTCTTAAAATGTATATA